ATGAAGATAGACTACTGCAAATCAATACAATAGACTACTGTATACATATCTTGGCATCTCATCTTCATTAATCAATACAATGCCTATTAGCCAAGTCAATGAAATAGTTATTTAAAGTTTCATTCAACACTCTACTAGCTAGAAGTTTAAAGCTTACTTGTGAGTTTTTAGAAATTAATAAAAACTCAAATCTCCTAAACTACCAAAATGTTGTTTATGCAATTGATTTCTTGTGTAGTTACTAGAGTTTGGTATTGAGTTTTCTTAACATTGAATTTCTATTTAACACATTTACTTGATTAATATTAACCATAGTAGCAACATGTTAAAAAAACATAGTGTAATTTCATGTTTCGATTAAAGTAGCATGTTGTTTTGAATAGTGGTATTTTGAATATTAACTCAATCATTACATCATAGATTTTGAACAGTGATAATATTACATAGTTCTTTGAAATATATAGATTTTGTGCCTTCAAGCATACATAATGTCGAAATCTAATAATATTACATAGTTATTTGAAACATATAGATTTTGTGCCTTCAATCATACATAATGTCCAAATGAAATTAATATTACATAGTGATTTGACATATATAGCTTTTGTGCCTTCAATCATACATAATGTAGTAAAAAGGACACCTATGTTGGGAGTTAGAGTTGAAAATGTCATAAACTTAGTCGAAAAAAGAGATTTGGGGGGCGAAAATGCAAGATAGCCCCCGAACCACTATTTTTACGTAACGGGAAGCTTCCCGGTGACAAATGTGACATGTAAGGACGGACGGTACGCAAATAGGACACCTACGTTGGGAGTTAGAGTTGAAAATGTCATAAACTTAGTCGAAAAAAGGGGTTCGGGGGCGAAAATGCAAAATAGCCTCCGAACCACTATTTTTACATAACAGGAAGCTTCCCAGTGACAAATGTGACATGTAGGGACGGACGGTACGTAAATAGGACACCTACGTTGGGAGTTAGAGTTGAAAATGTCATAAACTTAGTCGAGAAAAGGGGTTCGGGGGGCGAAAATGAAAAACAGCCCCCGAACAACTGTTTTTACGTAACGGAAAGCTTCCCGGTGAAAAATGTGACATGTAGGGACGGACGTAAATAGGACACCTACGTTGGGAGTCAGAGTTAAAAATGTCATAAACGTAGTCGAGAAAAGGGATTCGGGGGGCGAAAATGCAAAACAACCCCCGAACCACTGTTTTTACGTAACGGGAAGCTTCCCGGTGACAAATGTGACATGTAGGGACAGACGATACGTAAATAGGACACCTATATTGGGAGTTCAAGTTAAAAATGTCATAAACTTAGTCGAAAAAATGGGTTCGGGGGGCGAAAATACAAAACAGCCACCGAACCACTATTTTTACATAATGGAAAGCTTCCCGGTGACAAATGTGACATGCAGAGACAGACGGTAGGTAAATAGGACACCTACGTTGGGAGTTCGAGTTGAAAATGTCATAAACTTAGTCGAAAAAAGGGGTTCGGGGGGCGAAAATGTAAAACAGCCCCCGAACTACCGTTTTTACGTAACGGGAAGCTTCCCGGTGACAAATGTGGCATGTAGGGACGAACGGTACGTAAAAAGGACACCTACGTTGGGAGTTAGAGTTGAAAAGGTCATATACTTAGTCGAAAGAAGGGGTTCAGGGGCGAAAATGAAAAACAGCCCTCGAACCACTTTTTTTATGTAATGGGAAGCTTCCTGGTGACAAATGTGACATGTAGGAACAGACGGTACGTAAATAGGACACCTACGTTGGGAGTTAGAGTTAAAAATGTCAAAAACTTAGTCGAAAAAAGGGGTTCGGGGGGAAAAAAGGCAAAACAGCCCTCGAACCACTGTTTTTACATAACGGGAAGCTTCCCGGTGACAAATGTGACATGTAAGGACGGACGGTACATAAAAAGGACACCTACGTTGGGAGCTAGAGTTGAAAATGTCATAAACTTAGTCGAAAAAAGGGATTCGGGGGGCGAAAATGCAAAACAGCCCCTAAACCACTGTTTTTACGTAACGGGAAGCTGCCCGGTGACATATGTGACATGCAGGGACAGACGGTACGTAAATAGGACACCTACGTTGGGAGTTAGAGTTAAAAATGTCATAAACTTAGTCGAAAAAAGGGGTTCGAGAGGTAAAAATGCAAAACAGCCCACGAACCACTGTTTTTACGTAACGGGAAGCTTCTCGATGACAAATGTGACATGTAGGTACAGACGGTACGTAAATAGGACACCTACGTTGGGAGTTAGAGCTGAAAATGTCATAAACTGAGTCGAAAAAAGGGTTTCGGGGGACGAAAATGCAAAACAGCCCCCGAACCACTGTTTTTACGTAACGGGAAGCTTCCTAGTGACATGTGTGACATGTAGGGATGAACGGTCCGTAAAAAGGACACATACGTTGGGAGTTAGAGTTGAAAATGTCATAAACTTAGTCGAAAAAAGGGGTTCGGGGGGCGAAAATGCAAAACAGCCCCCGAACCACTGTTTTACATAACGGGAAGCTGCCCGGTGACAAATGTGACACGTATGGACAAACGGTACGTAAATAGGACACCTACGTTGGGAGTTAGAGTTAAAAATGTCATAAACTTAGTCGAAAAAAAGGGTTTGGGGGGCGAAAATGCAAAACAGCCCCCGAACCACTGTTTTTACGTAACGGGAAGCTTCCCGGTGAAAATGTGACATGTAGGGACAAACGGTACATAAATAGGACACCTACGTTGGGAGTTCGAGTTGAAAATGTCATAACAATAGTCGAAAAAAGCGTTTGGGGGTCGACAATGTGTTTACGTGGTAGAATATGAAATGCCCATGTCGTGGGTAACTATTTTGGTAATACTATAGTTTGTTTAACTCTTTCCTTATTAGTTAAACGTGACACAATATTTTTGGTAAATTGTTCAGTGCTTTTGTAGACTGTGGCCCTTTTAATTGCCATAAACACAACTTTTGACATTAATTCATAGAATCGATGCTCGTCTACCAGTCCATGTTTGGGTGTCTTTCATTAATTAATAGCTATTACTCTACTTGGCTTTTAATGTTTGAAATTAATACAGTTGCTATACAGTTGAAATTAATACAGTTGCTATATAGTGTACAAACTAATGAATTTTTTTTTTTTTTTTTTTTTTTTTGCAGATGGTTTTGGACATACAAATGTGGATATATAATTTTTTGACAATTACGGGAGGACATTGTTTTTATACCTCTATCCGTATATATAGTGGTTCGTACAAATTACTTTTTTGTTGTGGTAAATATCCGATTAAATTTGGCATGGTAGAAATTAGCATAGCACGTGGTACAAAATAGTTTCGGGGTAGTACAGATTTAATTTTTGTTGTGGTACATATGTTCTTTTTGTTAATTAATTTGGTTATTCCTGTATTATGTATGGATTTAAATTATTGATGTTGGATTAGACTTGGAGTGTATGGAATTTGTATTATATATAGAATTGGACGTTCAAGATTAATTTTTTGGATTCTTGGAACTGAAATGTGTGCACGTTGTTGAATGCTTTAATGGTTGATAATATATTTTAGTGTTGATGAATTATATTGTTTATACAGGGTACAGGTTGTACTAATAATGAATACAGGTTGTTTACAAACTTTTTTTTTTTTTAAAAAAAACAAAATAAAAAATTATTTGGCCACCAAATGTTTTGGTAGCCAAATTGGTAATCAAAAGTTTTGGCTACTAATAATTTAGTAGCAAAAACATAACCTAAAACGTTTTTGCGACCAAATAATTAGTAGCTAAAAAATTTGAGAATGAGAGAAAGAAACTATTGGCCACTAAATTTTTTAGTCACGAAAAAAAGGGTATCATTTGGCGACTAGCAGGTTTAGTGGCAAAAAGTAAAGAAATGAATCTTAATAGGTTTTTGGCTACGAACAGTTTTAGTCGGCAAAAGTCACCGCGATTAATGACATGGTTACTAAAAATATGTATTCTATTGGTGACGAAAATATTTAGTCTCTAATAGTTGGTCAAAATTTTACGGTAGAACTTTTAGTGACTAAACATTTAGTCACGGAAAGGTCACGTTTGCTGACTAACGAAGGATTCGTAGCTAAATGTTCTCTTTCGGTGACCACTATTTTCATAACAAAAACGAACACCTTCCCCGACTACATGAGCGTAGTAGGCAAAAGTCACATTCAGTGACTAACGGTTTTAGTGGCGAAAATATACCATTTGCCTACTAAAAGAAATTTAGAAGGGAAATGTTTCATTTTTTAGCGACCAAATGAAGTTTAGTTGCCATTACTATCGCCGAGAGGGTATAGGCGACGAATTTGGCGACAAAAAAGTTTGGTCGGTAAATGGTTTCAGCGACCAAATTTCGGCCTTTTGCCAACCAATATTTTAGTAGCCAAAAGTAACATTTCTTGTAGTGATATCGGACAGTATCGACTAATACCAGTTGAAAAAGATAATACTGGGTAAATACCGGATAATATCGGCCATTTTTTTTTTTTTGTAATATTAAAATGGTAAAAATTTGTGTTTCATACTCTCTTTGAAGTACCTTACTTTGTGTTATTTAACAGACAGTATCTTTTTAAGCCTTTTTACATATAAATTTGTTATTCATGATATGTATTGTTGAATTATTTGTTATTAAACAATGTTTTTAATACATAGATTATATTTTCGCGATAAATCTAAAACAGCATAAGGTAACATACCGGTCGATACTAATAGATACCTAACCAATAAAAAAAAAAAAAAAAAAGGATACTTAGGGCTATTCTGGAAAGTGGGTTAAAAGTTACTCTCTCACAAAAAAGTTAAAAAAAATCAAAAAATAACTTTTAATCATTTTTCTAAAACACCCCTTAGTCCGCTATAGTATTAACAACTTTGATTCGGATAGATGGCGGACCCAACTCAATTCATGAGCAACCCTACTCTCCATATTTGTAGATACACTCTCACATAAAAACCACCAAGTAGGCAAGTGCCATTTTTGTGCAAACGAAATGAGCAACGTGCCTCCTCCATCCAACTACTCCTCCTCCTACCCTCCATTGTTTCGCCCAAACAGCACCCCAACCCATGTCGTCGACCAAGATGACCCCACCACGCACAACCCAGGTTCGGACCCCCTGCCTGTGATCGACCTCCATGGCTTGAACCATGATGCCAAGCACACGCTAGCCGAAGCTTGCAAGGTTTGGGGCATATTTCGTTTGGTCAACCATGGGATTCCAATCACCCTCTTGAACCAGCTTCATGACCATGCCAAGGAGCTCCTCTCTCTTTCCTTTGAGTCCAAACAAGCCCTTAGGAGTGGCTCTATGTCCTACTTTTGGGGCACCCCTGCCCTTACCCCTTCTGGGCTAGCCATAGCCACAGAGAGGAGTCCTAGTTCCCTAAGCATTAACTGGGTCGAAGGTTTTAATGTTCCTCTGAGTCAACTCTCTGTGCTTCAAGCTGATGGAGATCCAATTCTTGATACTTTCAGGTAAATTTTTGCCTTTGCTTGCTTGTCACCTTTTAATGAGCAAAAGTTTGAGCAATTATTGGCTCCATAAATGGTAATAATCTCATCATGCTACAAACAGATCTGGATTGGATCAAATAGATCTCGATTGGATCGTTTATTTTTGCAGTGTTCATAATCTGCACAAATAAAAGTTTAAATTTATGAGCATTGTTATATAATATTATGGTAATTAATTAAAATATCTAAGGTATCACTCTTTTTATATATTCTCAATCATTAACTAATCATATTATTTACACATTAATAAATTAAAAAATGAATCTAAAAAATAAATTCATATATTATTTTCTAAAATTTATTTGTCACATTGTTACCTGTCATAGTGAATAATTTTTCACTTTTGATAAATGATTTTAAATTTCTTTGACAATTTGACTTGTACCCTTCTTTTTAAAAAAATTATCAGGAGTTAGGTAAATCACATAGTCAACTCATGTGCTTGTTGAATAGGGTTTTCGAGATTTACGCTATATTTGGTAATATCACTCTTTAATTTAAAAATTAAAAAGTTATTAAAAAATTAAAAAGTCAACAATTTATATGTAAAAGTTAAAAATTTTCTTTTCTCTTTATTTTTTATACATCTTTTCATAAAAAATCAAAAAATCAAAAAATCATCCCAAATATACTATTTTTTTTTTATATTACATTTTAACTAAAAAGTCAAAAAATTACTAAAAAAATATGTTCTCAAACTAGGCCTTAGTCCCCATATATATCAATAAGACTACAAACCCAGGTTTTTATTCAGAATTTATCACGAAAAAAAGTTAATAATTCAAATTTATTTCACTCATAAATCTCATATTTCATCAATTTAATCTTCATCTCACAAACACATTCTGACAAATTATGAGTTTATATATATATATATATATTTAAATCATGTAAGCATTTAGTCTCATACGATCAAACAAGCACATTATAATTTTGGGTTGGTTTTTCTATTATTAGTCTATTTTGATAATTTAAATTGTTTACTTTTTATAATTTTGTCTGTACATTATTATAATTAAAAAAAATTGATATATATTTGAATGACTATATCATATTTTGTGTGTACATCTGTTTTTAAAAAATGAGTGACAAAAATGATTTATACACAATATTTTAGAAGATGAATAATTTAGATTATTAAAATAAACTCCATGGTGAGTCCACCTACAGATATGTTGGACTTTTTATCTGTGCATCAATTGTAATGTAAAAAGCATATTAATACTGAAATAACATGTGAAAGATTATAAACTCTCCTGTATACACAAATTGCTACGAATATATTCATTTAAGAAAATAAGACATGCTCGAAATGTTGTGATAATTTTTTTATTAATAAGGTTATTTTGAAAATTCATTTGGTTTAAAATGAATGAGTATAAATATGTCAAGTATAAGTTTGAGGGAAATTAAAGCCAAGTTTGGGAACACCCCAAAAAGCCAAAAAGTCAAAAAGTTACTCAAAAAGTTAAAAAGTTATCACTATTTATCAAAAGTCAATAATTACGGCTGCACAACTCCCAATTCTAATTTTCTCCTACAAATCAATTTTTACAATTTTTTATTACACATTTTTTTTATAAAAAGTCAAAAAGTTAACCCAAACATTCATATTTTCAACCTCAACTTTTTAATCTAAAAAGACAAAAAGTACACTTATTTAGTCTTCCCAAACTTGGCCTAAATATCAAAAAAGTGAAAAATTGAAAAAATAATTGCATACTCATGAAATTACAAGTGATTTATATACTTAATTGGGCAAATGAGTGTTGTACTTTCATAAATTTGAAATTATTTGTTTTACTTTTCATTTTTTTTAATACATTTTCCCTAAATTTTTTGTTAGTTTTTATTTATTTATACACAATTACTCATTCATTTTTTTTTTTTTTATGACTGTTAAAAACATTATTTATTACATGTGCATTAATAGGATGATGCACAGACAACTTGGTCCGACAATTTGTGTTGTGTTGGCTGCGTGGTGCATTGCTCCCAACAGCAAATAACTTCGTATTGTATTGATGTGTAAAATTCAATGTTTTGTGATGGTCCAACAATCTCATACACTCCATGTGGTTTGTCATTGGAACAGACAAGCCAGGGCAATTGACTTGAAGAAAATAATTAGAGTGAAGAAAGTAGAAAATTCTTTCTCTCAATCTTTCTAGAAAGAAGTATACATTGGCCCTATATAGTTTGTTTGTATTTTGGATCTAAATACGCTTTGGCCCAGCCCAGCAGCATCAACTTAGTTGCTCGTGAGCCATTTTAAACTTCAGAGGTATATATTATTATTATTTTTATTATTGTTATTATATGATATAAGTTATTTCCAATTCCTAACGGAAGCTAAACTTAATGGGTAAATTTCCTTGAAAATGGGTGGTTAAGAACAACATTGTTATGATAATAATATTGTCTTCTTATGTTTGATTTATCATGTGACGTGTAACTGTTGTATTAATAACCAACACAATAGTGATGAGGCTCTTTAAATTAATAACGTAGTGATGCATAGAATAAACATATTTTTAATCATCATTATTGGGAAATTATTTAATGCCTGAATGGCCTTAAAAAAAAATTAAAAAAAAAAAAAAGGACCTGACACTCTTAACATTTTTGTGTTTAGTGATTAAAAAAATGGTTAAATATATATTTTTATAGTTTGATTCAAATTTTACTTTAGTTTTTATAGTTTCAAATTGAATAATTTATTACCTACACTCTAAATTCAGTTTCAATTTTTGTTTCTTCTATCCAAATTAATTAGATGTTAAAATAGTAAGTCTATGAACTGATATTTACCATCCCAGATTTGAGTCAAAAATGGAGTGTGTGATGGAGATTGAAAGTGTGTTATGAAACTCATATGTAAAATAAATCTGAATCACACATTGGTATTTTTGGATAATTTATGGTTAAATTTTTCTAAGTTTATAGTATTTTACTTATGTTAAAATAAATAATTTTGGAATACTTGTTAATTTTTTAAGTTGTACATATAGATAAAATAAACAGAAATTTAGACTTGAAGTATAGGAGATTAAATTGTTTAAATTGAAACAATAATAACTAAAATAAAATATGGATCAAACTATACGAATAAAAAGTAAATGTGATAAATATTTGTTTAGGTATAACATTTCTCATTAATATAATGTTGCATTCCAACTCTCTTTCTTTATGATGATGTTGATCTTGAAGACATTTGTTGGATGAGTATGGAAGGCATCAATCCAGAGTAGCCACCACAATTTTCAAAGCCATGGCAGAGAACCTCAACCTTTTAGGTCAAGAAAAATGCAAGTCCTATATCTCTCCATCTACTGGCTTCATACGTGTCTATCGCTATCCACGTTGCTCTGAGTCCAACCACAACAACCAAGCCTCAGCTTGGGGCATGGACGCCCACACAGACAGCTCAGTGATCTCCATATTGAACCATCATGATCAAGTTGGAGGACTTGAGGTCTACAAAGGCCACAAATGGCTCGACATTAAACCTATTCCTAATACACTTGTCGTTAACCTTGGAGATATGATGCAGGTTTACTTCCAATTTTAATTTGGTGTTTGGGATTTTATTTTATTTTATTTTTTTGTGGGGGATGGAGGGTGGGGGAAGGGATTACACATAAGTGGGGATCCAAATTTTTTTTTATAAAAGGATGATAAATATTATAAATATTAATAATTAAAATTATTAATTTTTTTAATTTTTTGTATATATTTTTTCTTGATCCCATTGCTGGGCAATTTTCCTTTTTTTAGTTTTATTTAATTTTAAAAAAATTTATAGGCATTAAATTTTACTCAACTGGACGAATTAGGAAAGTAAATAATAATAATAATAAATTAAAAAAAAAATCCACTACATAAAAAAAATTTAAAAAATTGTATATTTTTGTTTTTTTTTAATGGATTTTTTTTATATTATTCTATTCTAAATGCACGGGAAATTTTTTTATAAAAAAAAATTAACACAAAATTTGAAGGGAAAAAAAAGTACTAAATATTTTTTAAAATTTGACCTTTTTTTTATCTAATTTTTTTTATTATTTTTTTTTAGTAGATGGCTTGCTGCTGGACTTATTGGGGCCACTCCCGGTCCACCTTAGTGAAGTGGGGCCCATCCAGCCTAACATAACTTTCTAGCTCAATCCTTTTTTATGTTTTTTTTGTTTTTGTGATTTTTTTTTTTAAAAATTGAGTCAAATTTTTTCTTCTTCTTTTTATGTCCATCTAAACCAAACTAGGCAATCCTAAATTTAATATTTTTTTAAAAAAACAAGGTTCGCTAAATATAATAATAATAATAATAACTTTATGAAGTTTTTTTCTGACAATTTTTTTCTTTTTCTTTTTTTTAATAAAAAAGGGGTCTCTGGAAATTTTTTAATTGCATGGAATTAAACAATACAATTTTTTTACTTGAATTTGAAAATGATTATTGAAGATGGATAGAATTTTTTTTAAAAAAAATGTCCAATTTCAAATAGAACTGCTATATACAACAGTACCATAAATGATACTTATATACAATGAACTTGATATTTCTCCAACATTTTCTTAAATCTTTAATGTTGTTTCCTTTACCACAACTCTATGACACATATTATATTTGATTTGGTTGATATTGTAGGCTATGAGCGATGATGAATACAAGAGTGTGAAACATAGAGTGAAGGCAAACAAGTACGACGACCGAATATCAATTGGCTACTTTGTGTTCCCAGCTCAAAATGGTGTGATTCAGAGCTCCAAGTACAAGCCTTTTACTTATTCTGATTTTCAAGCCCAAGTTCAAAAAGACCTGATGACCATGGGCTTCAAAGTTGGGCTTGACCGCTTCAAGCTTAATAAGGCCTCTTAATTCATTCCTACTACCCTAGTGTTTTTTGTTTTTTATTTTTTGTATGAAAATATAAGAAAGGAAATTGTGCTCACAACAATAAAATTTCGACATTACACCCAATAAAATAGTATATTATTTACTAAGGTTGTCCTTGGTCTTCGGTTATTTAAATTTAAAAAAAATAAAAATTAAATTATTAATAGGATTGTAAATTGCAGTAAGTTATTTGAAAAAAAAAAAAAAAGAGTTTATTGTCGCAAATTAAACTTAAAAGGATCTTGTATTTTTTTTTCCCCAACTTTAATGAGTAAAGAGTAATTTACTTATAAATATATAAGAATATGAGTAGGCAAAAAAATATTGGCAGCTTCTATTTTCATATTTTAAAAAAAAATGTTCAAATTCACACATCTGCTAGGCTCTTTAAATTACAAAATGAAAAATTCTAAACATACAAAAAATTTGACAAGAATAATGTGGCAATGTCATTGTTGTAAATAAATCTATCTTCAAAAAAAAGGTCTACAATGAGTCAATATTATGTATGAGTTTTTTTGTTTGTATAGCACTATTAGAAATGAAAAATACTAGAGACCCTAAAAATTTTACTAAAATTTATACTAAATCTCTTAGGGGGTGTTTGGCAACTTAGGTTTTCTTGGCTAAAATTAATATGTTAAAATAGTTAATAAGATAAAATATTGCATCAAATCCATAATCATTTTACTTTTTCTCTCACAAACATCAAATCTAATTACAAAAAAATTCAATCATCTTCTTAAATACAAAAAATTTAGCATACTAAAATAGCCATTACTAAAATAGCCAACTTCCCAAACACCCACTTACATGGAAATGGGACTTATATCATTACTCTTAAATTATAATTTTTATTTCTCAATTAAATTATAAAAATGATTGAGATTTTAAAAAAATCTCATTTTAATTCAAGTCGTAATTATATAGTATGATAGATATTATTTTTTGATTTATCACACACTCTGAGGCACCGTTTGGGAAGGTGGGTTGGAGGCTTTTTTGGCTATTTTAGTCACAAAAACAAAATAGGCTATTTTAGCCATAACAAACAAAACATCACATCCAACCCATAATCATTACATTCTTCTCTCACAAAAAAACTCAAAAAAGCCAAAAAGCCTTAAATTATAAAAATGATTGAGATTTTAAAAAAATCTCATTTTAATTCAAGTCGTAATTATATAGTATGATAGATATTATTTTTTGATTTATCACACACTCAATTATATAAAATTTGATTTTTTTTTATCACATTATTGTAAGTAATACTCTTAAGAATTTACAAATAAGTATCTTAAATTATTATTTTAAAGTTGTGTTAGGCATAGCAGCATTGTCAATAATCCGGAGCGAGAATCATCATCATCTATTATGGCTTTTATCATCTTTTTTTTTTTAAATTTATTTATTTATTTTTATTTTAGATTGGAACCTTTTAGTGCCACTATCTTTTTACATAAAAAGAAGCAGAGAGAAGTGCAAAAAAACTGTTTTTTGATCATGAAAAAAACTCAAAGCCCGAGAAGACAAGAAAGGTTTGGAAGTAGCATCGATAAAAGTGAATAATTGTTATTTTATTTTTGTAAGTGGGAATCCTACGGTTACAGCCAGGATGGTTACCGCGCCACATACACCCGCATGCTTGTACGATCCTATCCCACACACCATACACACTGTTGTTATGCCTATCCTCAAGTGTTAAAAAAAAATATCAGTGGAATACTTTATTTTTATTACTAGTTTAAGTTTTTATTCTAATTTTGAAAATGTGTAAATTGTTTAAATCGTTTATTTTGTCTGCCCTATTTCCTTTATCTTTACAAAAAACATATATAGTTTTGGTTAAAGACTTGTTTGTCATAACTTAAAAAAATTAAAAAGTTAAAAAGTTACTACCATATTTATGTTAAATCATCTTATTTAAGTCTCATTATCTTTTTACCACATCACTTCAAACATAACTCATATTTTATAAAAAGTTAAAAAGTACACTTATTTAGATCATCCCAAATTACCAATTATTTTCACACTTGTTTTAAAAAATTATTATCAATTTTGTCTTGAAGACATTAGGATTATTAGATCAGTTTAACTTTTTTTTTTTATATGAATGATATATGTAAAAAAAACTTACAAAATAAATAATTGAAATTATCAAAATAAAACATGTAATAAGTTCTACGGTCTTTGGACAACATTCTCCAATCCAACTCATAGACCAAAGGAATGCCCAATCCAATTATTAAATTGACCTATAGAGTTCGAACTGAATAGTTGAATCTCTTTAGTAGTGTTTGTTTTGAGTGATTGAGGGGTAAGATTGGATTATTAGTCCACTTAAATTAATAATCTGTTATTTGGTTCAAAATTTTGCCACCGAATTATTAGTCCCAAATCCATTGAACTATTGTATCTCATAGGGGCACAAATGGAGGGATAAGGCGAGATATGGGATTAAGTGGTAAAATAACCATTTTGACCATCTACTATTTAATTATATATTATATTCAGTAAAATTCAATAAAATTTAAATGTCTCAATTTAAAAATAAAATAATTTCATTTAATTTTTATTGATGTTTTATTTATTTAATTTTTTAAAATAATTTTTTATAGATATTTTATTGATGTTTTATTTTAAAATTTTCTTTATATTATATTTAATTTCATTATTTAAATTTTAGTAAATGTTTTATTTAATTTCATTATTTAATTATTATTATTTTTAAAATAAATTTATTTAAAATTTTAATTAAAAAAATAACATATATTTTTATTGATATTTTATTTATTTAATTTAAAATAAATAAATTCATTTAATTGTGTAAAAAATAAAGTAAAATAATTTTTATTTAATCTAGTTAAAAATAATTAAAATATTAAAGGTATGTTTATTGCTATTACTTAGTAATTAATTGAAAAGGGTAAAATAATCATTTGAACATTTATCCTTCTCTGTAATATCCTAAACAAACATAGGATTCATATCCTATCAAACCAAATAGTCATTTATTGACATCTAATCCCGTAACTAAACAAACATGGGATACAAATTCAATCCAACCAAATAGTCTGGAGACAATGTATCGCAAAACTAACAATTCGATAGATTCTAATCCCCTCTTATTTAGTCCGTTCAAACAAATACATGCTTTAGGTATTCTATTTACCTTAATTTCTTGAATCTATTTGTTTTAATTTCTTGATAATTAGGTGTCCGAGTGTCTGAATCTATGTGCACATCAATTAAATCCAAAGGATCAATAAAAGTAAACCAAACAACTCTTTAGTATTTGTCACATAATCTTTTCAATTGCACACATGTTTTCTCTTATAATTACAAATGTCATAACTCAACCATTTTACTCGCAATTAAAATAAAGTCATAATCAAACATCACATAAAACATATTAAAGACTTTTTAGATTATAATCAAAAAAATATGATAATCAACATTACAATAAGTCATAACTAATATCACAATGTATATAATAAAGTCTCATAACTAATACTATAATAGGTCATAACAAATACCACTAACATCATAACTAAGAGACATATGACACACTATAATACGAGTTTGTACCATAAAATTTTCCATTTTAACGGTATATATAATTGTATAAAACTAAAGAAAATTTTAATATGTATCCTTTTAAAAATGGTGTACCATATACATTCTTAAATATGTAATTTTCTTCTTTAATTATGATTTATAAGTTTTTTAGTTTTGTCTCGTGTTGTGTTTAGTTATAATATTTTTTATTTTTATTTTTAATTATGACTAAAAAATAAAATTATGTTATTATTGTTTTAAATTATAAGATTCATACAATATATTTTTTTTGAAAGATGTATGTCATAATTTTCCATAACTATATACCCACCAATATAGAAAGAGAAAGAGAGATAATGGAAATAGTAAAATCCTTTTCTTCTGATTTTCTCTCTCATTTATAATTCGAATCCTATTTTTTCTCTCATTTATAATTCGAATCCTATGACTATAAAACTGATGTATGACCCATATGAGAATGGAACTTTATAAACACTAAAATTAAAAATAAATAAATAAAACAAAATAAAAGTACATTACACAAATATTTTATGTTACGCAACTAATTCCATCAATTGATCCCAACTCACCGGTTTAGGATTTTTTATTTGTCTATCCATTTAAAAATAAGGAAAATGTTTGATGGTCACAAATTCTGTGGTTCAAATGGCCCGAAACTGTCAAAACGACCAAAACGATGTCGTTTTGACAGTTTTGGGCCATTTGAGCCATAAAATTTATAACCCCCCAGCATTGCTGTAAAAATAATTATGTATTTTTTTAAATAATAAAAAGTATATAATATATGATTATTTTATAATCATAGAAAAATAAAATCATGTTATTATTTTTTAAAATTATAAGATTCATACAATATATACTTTTTGAAAGATATATGCCATAATTTTCCATAACTACATACCCACCGATATAAAAAGAGAAAGAGAGATAGACAGAAGTAGTAAAATCCTTTTCTTGTTGACCAAATTTAAAGAAAACACCATTCCACTCTGATTTTCTCTCTCTCATTTATAATTTGAATCCTATAACTATGAAACTGATGTATGACCCATATGATAATGGAACTTTATAAACACTAGAATTAAAATTAAATAAATAAAACAAAATAAAAGCACATTACACAAATATTTTATATTACGAAACTACACAACACAACATTCACTTAAATTCCATCAATTGATCCCTACTAACCGGTTTAGGATTTTTATTTGTCTATCCATTTAAAAATAATTATGTATTTTTTAAAATAATAAAAGTATATAATATATGATTATTTTATAATAGTAGAAAAATAGTCATATAATGACATGCCATTAAACAATCACACAGTGATAATAAAAATCTCCACTTAATATTTTTGTTTTTGGGTCTTAAAATTAAATACAAATTGATAATTAAATATTAGAAGTTAAAAATACTAATACTTCAATTTGAAGAAACTTTTGTTCTAATATATATTTTCAAATTATAAGCCATTTAGGTGTGCAAGGAATATAAATAGGACTGAATGACTGATTAAGATTGATTGGAATTTTAAATTTTGGATAGGTATTTCATAAGGTATGGTTTGATTTGGTAATGAAATTTTTTACAAGTATACCAAGTGAATTAACTGAAATAGTGTACTTACCTAATTTAAAATTTAAATTATTTGATCACTAAAAAGATTTAATGGTCAATAATACATATTTTGTAACAAAAGTTATAAGAAAAAAAAGAAGACATTTACAACTCAACATTCACCATTTTTTCTTGATTTATTCGAAATGTAAAATATTAAATTATGTGAATAATCTATCATATGCACTAAACCAACAAAAATGATAAAAATAAATTATAGTTTATAATCCATTTGGACTTCTCAATCAACAAAATTAAAAAATTTTAATTTAAAACTAAAATTTTTGTCAAACGTGACCGAATTAAACTCATTTATCAAATTAAAATAAGGAAAATGTTTGAGGGTCACAATTTTTGTGGTCATAATGGCTCAAAATTGTCAAAACGATACTGTTTTAGCATGTTTAGCACCAAAAACGACGTGATTTTGACAATTTTAAATCATTGTGACCACAAAAATTGTGATCCCCTAACATTGTTCTTAAAATAAATTTCTTTGCAATAAAAAAAATATATATTTACAGCAAACAAGTCTTGTCAATAACTAGTAATATTTTGTGAGTGATGGTTCCGTTGCAAATTGGAGATTTTGATTGTAGAATATCGAAACTCCTCCCGCACGCACCGGACGATAAAGAGAAAAAAATTCGCAAAACCCCCACTCACAAACCTCTCAAGCTCTCTTCAATGGCGGCCGATATTGGGGAACTGGGTTCTTCAGAGAAGAAGAGAAGGCGTAGAACTCTTTGCAATAGCCCAAAGCTTCTGCTTGATCACAAAGTTGAAGTAATGCCATCTTCTTTTGATCATCTTGGTCAATATATATATGCACATATATGTCTCTGTATACATGTGTATATTTGTTTTTTTGACAACAATGGTTTTTCAGTTTTCATGATTTTGGGGTCTGGGTTTTTCTTTTCTTTGTTTTTTATTTTTTTATTTTATTCATTATTTTATTTGCGATTACTGCTAAAATCTTTTGGGTTGTCCTTTTTCTGATTGATCGTTTCCAAGATTGTTTCTTGCTCTGATTTTACCTGCATTGTGTTGTTTGTAGTCCATGTCTGGTTATATATATGTATATACAGTAGTGTATGGTTGTTTTAGTGTTCATGCAAAAGATTAATTTGGGATTCTATATATTGAACCAGTTTGTGAGTCTCAGTGAATGCTTTCTTGTTTGGATGATCAGCGTACATGCACTGTTTAATTTGGGAATCCATTAGATAAACAAGTCCGTGTTTCATCAATGCTTTCATTTTTTGATCAATGATTGTTTATTGGGGTTTAATAAGGTAAAAAAAGAAAAACTAAAAAAGAGAACTCTGCTCATAGTTGTTTTTGTTTACTGGTTTGTTCTTCAGTTGGGTTTCTTTGATTTTGCATTAAAATGTGAAATTGGTCCAGGTAAGGAGTGTTGAAGACGGGTTTCGGGGGTCATGGCACTCTGGAACTGTGATTGCCTGTGAAAATCAGGCTCGAAGAGTCCAATACGACCATCTTTTGTGCGACGACGGTTTGCAACATCTCATTGATTGTATAAAAGTCCCTCCTGTCATTGATGGAATTGTTCCGGCCATCAGGGTACTGTGTAACCATCGGGGTTTGATAAGGCCATTGCCACCGCCGATTGATTTTACGAAATGGTCTTTCCACTACGGACAGTGTGTTGATGTCTATTACAAGGAGGCATGGTGGGAGGGCGTGGTTTTTGACCATGAAGACGGCTCTGAGAGCCGAACAATTTTCTTTCCTGATATGGGTGATGAAATGCAGTTTAGAATCGATACGTTACGGATTACTCAGGACTGGGATGAATTTATTGACGAATGGAAGATTCGTGGGAACTGGTTGTTTCTTGAGTTGGTTGAGGAATTTGAGCAAGAGTGGCCACTTCAAGTTTCTGTGAGGCAAATATGGTATGAAGTGAGGGTAAAGAAGGCTTTTCAGAACCTTGTGGAGTGGACTTCTACACTCAAGGGTATCTGGAAAAATTTGGTGTGGGAAGTTATTGTTGATAATTGTAAGCTTGCTTTAAATCATTTTTTACATGAATTGAATTCATCAGGGGATTTGGCACAGGATGCCCATGGCCTGCCACCATCATCCAAAACTCATCTTGATGTAATATCGAGGCCTGAAGCTGATTCAGGTAACTCTCTTGCCATCGTTGCAGTTAAAAATGATGGCTCGGATTCTAGGTTGTTGTCTACTGATCTCAGTAATGATGGCTTGGGTATGAATCTCTCAACTAGCTCAAACACGCCCTGTCATGAAGAAACACCATGTGTGTCACCTCATGCTCTACCAGTCTTACCTTTTAATCAAGATGAATTTTCTAGATTGTATTCAAAATTAAACAGTCAAGGGTTTTATAGACCCAGTTCTAAATCACCAGCTGGATGGAAAAAATGTTTTAGACAAAGAAAAAGTGTTAAGTGGGTACCTGCTGGTGTTGACATTGTTCCTAGAGCTAAGTTTTGCCCTAATGCAGTTGACGAATACCTGAACAATAGACGCAAGTCATCATGTAGTTTAAAACTTAGAATGCATCTCGCTTATTTGGGCTGGAAGATTGAGTTCATGAGAGATGAAAATGTTCTTAGGATGCGCTACACCTCACCCGATGGGAAATCATATTTGTCACTTGTTACCATCTGCAAGGCTTTGGGGAAAGCTCCATCGGAAAGGTTGAGTACAAGTCATGGGTGGCAACCTGCTGGTGATGAAATTGTTCCTAGAGCTGAATTTTGCCCCGATGCTATTAATGAATACCTAGAGCCCGGACATAGGTCTTCCCGTACTTTAAATGTCAGAAAGCATCTTGCATATTTGGGCTGGAAGATCGAGTTCATGAGAGATGGAGGTATTAATAAGATGCGATACATCTCACCTAATGGGAAATCATATTATTCACTTGTTATGGTCTGTAGGGATTTGAAGGAACCTGGATCAGAAATTCTTTCCCTTCCTTCCCAAGATGATGAAAGACTGTCAGTTGCTGTGTCAGATAGTCCATTCCCTTCTCCTCTCGCGGAACCACCACACACATCCATGGAGCTGTCTGTGACGCCTCCTCCTTCCGACAGAGTTGTTGAATCTGAATATTGCCCCGGAGCTGTACTTGATTACTATTCTCTTGGATCAGCAGAAAATAGTGATAAATGGAAGTGTTACAAGGTTAAGGACCACAAATATGTGGGTCTACAATTTAAAGCAAAAAAGCATCTTTCTGCTGTTGGGTGGTCATTCTGGTACTATGTGAGGGGACGGAATCGGGAATTGCGATACACTTCGCCAAGTGGAAGGTCCTATAGTTCTCTTCGAACAGCCTGCAAAGCCTGTATAGATGAAGGAGGAACCTCTGATAATAATACTTTTATCTCTAGACCAATGCAAAATGCTGGCTCTCGGATGCAGAAGAAAAGAAAGGCATCTGGATCGCCAATCAAATCAAGAGATGATTTGGGTGATGATTGTCCAATGCGTGTGCTGCGCTCTAGCAAAAGAGCTCGGCAGGTGGTGGTTCCTTCTTCCTCTGATCAGAACCCTCGAACCATATTATCTTGGTTAATAGACAATAATGTGGTGTTGCCTAGGGCAAAAGTACGTTACATTAGCAGAAAGGATCATCCTCCAATAGCTGAAGGGAGAATAACTCGCGATGGGATCAAGTGCAGTTGTTGCCAAAAAGTTTTTACCCTTAGTAAATTTGAAGCACATGCTGGCAGCAAGAATCACAGACCAGCGGCGAATATTTTTTTGGAGGATGGGAGGTCTCTGTTAGATTGTCAGAGACAGTTGAAATGTCGTAATATTAAGAGAAACTTGATGACAGAATCACTTGACATGAAAGGTAGGCGGCACCAAAGCATGAATGATTACATATGTTCTGTCTGTCACTTTGGGGGTGAATTAGTTTTATGCGATCAATGCCCGTCATCATTTCACACAAGTTGCCTTGGTTTGAAGGTAGATCCTTTGAATACTCCTATCCTACTTATCAAACTATATATATATTTTTTTTGGTTTCTCAGACTTATTTCTTTGAACACTGTATATGAATTTTAATTTTGAGTTCTAATTTGGACTTCAATTTATTGTTTATTTAGGATGTTCCAGATGGTGACTGGTTTTGTCCATCATGCTGTTGTGGAGTTTGTGGGAGAAGCGGGTTAAATAATGGCTCGAAACAATTTACAGATGACAGTGTTCTCCATTGTGATCAGTGTGAGCGTCAATGTATGTGAGTTGAACTTATTTGTAGTTGTGTTATTGTATCCGTGACCATATATGTATTATACTTATTAACAGATACACATCCACACTTAATATGTTTCTGATGTAGATCATGTTGGGTGCCTAAGGAAAAAGGGTGTTATGAATGTAGACAATTATCCCGAAGGAAGTTGGTTTTGCAATAAAAGATGCGAACAGGTATTTCATAACTGCCTTCCTTCTCAATATTACATTTTGGATCAATATCAAGAATATATTGGTTTTAGCATGCACTAACACCTATCTAATTTGCAAGTTGTCTTCTCCAAAAGCATGATAATTAATGTTCATCAAATAAAAACATTAGAACCTTGTAATGAACATATTCTTCATTTGCTCCTGTCTTAGTTTTATATGAACTGATAAGGTCTCCGTTTACGCTAAAAGTAATAAAATGAGCTTGTTTCTTCTATTTTTTGCTCTTGTATGCACCTTTGTTTTGTTTTGTTTTGTTTTTTTTTTTTTTTTTTTTTTTTTTTCCATGCTTCTTTGAAGAATAAACCCTGCATCTGAACGTGGCCTCCAGCATTTGATGTAGATATATGAAGAGGAGAAATTAACTAATAAGGTTGCTTTTGTAAACATTACATTTCATAACCAGTTTTCTTCTCATGGGAACCATGTTACATGTTTTGCAGTTTGGCTGGCTGGTATTGGTTTCAAATTGTGAGAATTGCATTAACTTTCTTGTTAACTAGTGTAATTTTATGGGCAAAACTCTCAGATATAGGTTTAAGGAGGCAAATACAAGAATTAGAAAGTGGAATATTAGCAGCTGCTTTTTCGCATCTTTGCTCAAAGTTCAGTCCTGACATGATGTTGTTTCTGGTTTCACAAATTAGACTTTCTAAATTGAAGAACAATACAATACACATGCTTGTTTAATTGTTCTTGTCTAACATGTGAAGTGCTGAATTAAATATGATATTTGGTATGCATAATTGGTGGATTATCTATTTGATGCACCTGTTGGACACAGTTGAATGTGGGTTTTAATACACCTGGGTCATTATTGCAGATCTTTTTGGGTCTCCACAAATTTCTGGGAAAGTCAGTTCTGGTTGGCAAAGATAATTTATCCTGGACTTTGTTGAAATACAAGAAATGTGATGATGGGGATCATGATGTCTCTGATATGGCAGCTGTGACGGAGAACTACAGCAAGCTTAATGTTGCTCTTTCTGTGATGCACGAATGTTTTGAGCCTGTTAAAGAAGCTCGAACCAGGAGAGATCTTGTTGAAGATGTTATTTTCAGTAGATGGTGAGTTAATTTCATTGCTAGTCCAGTTATATTTCCATTTTTGTTGTGTCATATAGACAACATGATTTTGTATTTTTGTTTTATGATTTCATTTCAAACTGTGCTATTGAAATGCTAGTCATATCTTGTAATTGTGTTATTTTGTACCTGTGCTTCTGTTCATTTTCTTACAATTATGGTTTTCATTGTTCCAGTGGTTTGTGACTAAATTTTATTTTTCTTAAATGTTTTTTTTCATGGTTTTATTTTTTTCCTCGATTGGGGAACATGTTATGTATTCTGGAATTAATATTAGCACATTAGAGGAGTTTGATTGCTAATACATGTTGTATCAACTCAACTCGGGAATTTTTTTTCTTCTTCTTTCAGTTTTTTATTGGTAGAGCAGAGCCTACTTTGTCTGCTCAGTAGTAGCTTGAATACCACTGGGGCAAGACAATTAAGCTTTAATGTTTACCTGTTTGCCCAGTTTTGGTGATTTCACCACAAAACTTTCACCGTCTCTATTAGTTGTCTTACTATTTTTTTTATATCTACTGCAATTCTTGTTTATATTGGAGGAACCCTCAAGCCTAATTTTCATTTCTCCTTCCTCTTAGTTATGACCCCTCCGTCTCACTACCCATCAAGATAAGTTTCATTAAACAGCATCATATTACATCTGGGAGGCTTACAGACATGCAATGTTACCTGTGATAACAAAAGTATTCTTGCTCTTGTGATCAACAACTAGGTCCTTCTCTCTCACTGGACCTTTGACTGGTAAGCAAGTTTTGGTGGGAGATTTTATGTGCCTTTCTTGGGGTTTTGCTTTGGGTATGGCATAAGCAAAAGAAGAAATTTTAGGATGGATGATGGGATAAAACTGCCTATTTTATGTTAGGTTTTGAATTAAGTGAAAAACTTTTGGGCAATAGGCATTTAGTGAACTGTTTCAGTTTAATTGGGTTTATAATAGGGCCATCTCATTTTAACCGCCTGTGATATTTTTCAAAACAATGTTGTTATATAAAGTTTTTCATGAGTGTTTATCTCTTAAGATAATTCATTTATTTTTGGTTACTGGACATCACTTTCTATTGCACCAAGTCTAGTGGTAATTATTGCTTTTGCAGGTCAGAGCTGAATCGGTTGAATTTCCAAGGGTTTTACACAGTGCTTTTGGAGAAAAATGATGAATTGATTACGGTAGCTACTGTAAGGTATTATACAAACTACAAACTTGGGTTGAGTTGCTTACTTTTTTGTTTGATCATGGTAATCTGAAGGGATTTCATTTATTTTCTTTTCTTTTCCTTCTCTTTTTGTTTAAAGGGTTCATGGAGAAAAGGTGGCAGAAGTACCTCTTGTTGGTACACGGTTTAAATATCGTCGACTTGGAATGTGTCGCATCTTGATGAATGAGCTTGAAAAGGTAAAATCTGATTTCTGTGAATTTGGGGTGGGGCCTCGGGGAATGCTTATTGTTCACAGTTGCAATTCAACTTGAGCATTTAAAGAAATATAGTAAATCTTCTAAAAAAATTTACAAGTTGGATGGCTTAATAAGGTAATTTGATTTCTCAATATTGTTTTACAGAAGCTGATGGAATTAGGAGTGGAGAGACTAGTTTTGCCTGCGGTTCCCAGTGTGCTAAACACTTGGACGACCTCGTTTGGGTTTTCAAAAATGGCAGAACTGGAGAGATTGAACTTTCTGGATTACACTTTCCTTGATTTCCAGGGTACTGTCATGTGCCAGAAACTCTTAAATAAGATCCACTCCACAGACTTGAGCCCATTAACAAGTATGTGGCATTTCCTCCCTCGACTACGTTATTGAAGATTATAAAAAATTGTACGAACTAACATCCATGTTCTGTTGTATGATTAATGCAGGAACTGAGCAAAACATTTGTGATGCTGTGAGTGGAAGTGATAATGTAGATTTTGATGGGAATAGTGCTATTTCTGAAGCCTTCCAAACAGACCAGGTCGAGGAGAGTGAAATCATGGACCAAGGACCTGCAGAGTATGTCTCCGGTCTCATTTCCTATAATATACTTAAACAAGAGATAAAAAATACAAAAGCTTGAACACTCATCTGCTATGATAAGCAAAAATATTTGTCCAAAAAATGACAATCAAGAGATCTTTACCAAGTGACTTGTATTTGACTCAGGCTAGAAAGATAGGACTTTCTTATGGAAATTGCTCTGAATGGTTAGTTTAAATGTTGTAATTATGTTGACTATATGATTTGCTGGATGCATCTAATAATTGAAATATAGTAGTGGCAAGCAACATGAAAGAGGAAAATCACTTCATTTTTTGTTCGTTTTCCACGAAAGGCCTAAGAACAGGATGCAACTTAGTATAAATTATAGACGGAAACCTGATTTATCCCCAAAAAAAAAATAAAATTATAGTCTGAAACTTGATTTCTAGTGGCATGAAATGGATTATATATTAAATGGTAAATCAGTCAAGCAAGCTCTAATTTTGTCAGGACAACATACATTTATTTATTTATTTTACATAATCATGATCATAATTGAGAAAAATTAACATACACCTGATCATCTTTGCATGTTAGAAATGATGGAATATTTTTAAAATGAAAATCATGGACCTAGAATGTTACTTCTTTTATGTGCATACCTTCCAATATTATGAGTAACTAAAAGTATTTAAAATAGAGAATTGTTATAAAAAAAAAAAAAAACTTTAATTTTAAAGTTGTTTATGAATTAAAAAGCATATCATATCACAAAGATGAGTAGTGTATTGACATCATACCCTCATTTGCCAATTTATGAAACATATCATATCACAAAGATGAGCTGTTTATTCATTTACTTGAAAAAGTTACGATGTATGGGCCACATTCTTCATCTGGGAGAAAAATGGTTCATACTCTAATGCATATCATGTCATGTTAATTCTTTGGACAATACCTCTTCTAATCTTTAAATCCATGCTTCAAAGAGAGATTTTGATTGTTAATGTGATGAAGACTGCAAAGGCAACCATATTCTGAGGGCCGAATTGAAGAATTTTTCCGATATTACAATCATGCTTTGCAAATACACCCTACATATATATTTATAGATACATATATTGATTTGTGTATATTAGAAAGTGTTGGTTTATTTATGTGGTTTTGCCAGTATAGCTGGAGTTGATGGTAGCGATGGTGGTAGTGGCACAGGACCTCCGGGTTTCTTGGTACTTCAATTTTCTTTTACCTTTCTGTTCGCATTGCATCATTTTTATTCCTTTACATTTTACTTTTATCCAGTCAGATTTTTATTTTTTATTTTTTCAATTCTGTTCCATGGTCATAGACAAACCAACAAACACTTGAATGCATACCTTTCCAAAATGGGATCTGCGAAGAGTGTTCAGTTGAAGGTGCTGACCACAGTGAATGTGAGAACAACGATGGCCTTTTCAAGTGTTACAAGCGGAGGAGGATTTCAGCTTGCTGAAGCCGAGACCTTTCACATGCTGCCAGTGAGTCATGAGAATATCTGTTTTTGCCCCTCCGGGAGTTTAAATTTTGCTTTAATGAAGGTCAGTCTAGAATTTCCTCGTTTTGTGAAATATATAGTGGGAGGAATTTGCAGGAGTTTGGTATCAGGCTCGTGTTTATTCATGTATATAGGGAAGTAATATATATATATATATATAGCTAGCTGTAATTATGCATAGAGCTTATTTTTGGATTTCCCTATGATGGTTGCAATGGAAGATATGGCTGTTTTTATGTTTATTGCTTCTAATGTATTATAATGTGAATTATTTATAAGACACCATTTTAGTTGGTACTTTTTAAACCGGTCATATCATATGCATTACTTTTCTGGGGGCAGAAAGGGCATTATTGGAAATAAATTTTTACCTATATCAGCAAGGGTTGAGAGAGAATACAAAAGAGGGCCTCCTCTGGAAAATTAGCTATTTTAGTAGGTTAAAATATTTGTGTTTAGAAATATAATTAGATTTTTTTGTAGTTGGATGTAATATTTGTGAGAAAAAATGAAATAATTATAGGTTCGATGTGACATTTTGTCTTATTAGTTATTTTAGTCTATTTTATTTTTTGTGAATTTTTCTAAAAAGCAAAAAAAAACTTTGCAGTGTCTCTGGCTTTATTCATTCCTCGTGTTCTTCTGGTATGTACCTTTGATCGTCCTTCGGCTTTCTTTTACATTTTTGGATCTTTTTACTTCTGGAGGTTACTTTTGGTAAATTTAGTTTCACATATTTTAAAACTCTTGTTTGAATTCATATGTGAAATAGAGACATAATTTTTTTTACCCACTCGTAAATAATTCCACTTTTGGCACTTTGTACTGTCTCCCTTCCCTTTACAATTTGTCCAATCTGTTTAAAGTTTCATTTGCCTAATCGGGCCTGTTTTGCTGGTATGTGTTTTTCTTCTTTTGGGTGACCTTGTACGGATGGTATGGCAATGGATCGGGACTCTGGCGGTACCCTTTTGGACCCGCTTTTGAAAGTTATTTTTTCAGCATTAAATCTCAATAATTTTAAAATTGTAAATTGATTTATTTGGTTTAAAGTATACAAACTTAAAGATTGATTTGTGTTGATATGGATTTGCGATTGAAAAGTAAAGGTAGAGACAAAGAAGAAGAATTGCGACATCCAGTGAATATTAGCATTAGTATTTAATTTGATACGCATGATTCGTAAGTGATTGCATGATTTATAAGTGATGCTATGTTTTTAGACAATTCATACGGCTTTAGAGTTTAGTCATCAAAATAAAAAATATACATATAAAAATATTGAGAATAAATGATTATGTATCATGGGGGGGCCCAGTTCCTTTAATTGGATGGAGATGTAAGATGTTTTAGAGAGAGAGAGAGAGAGAGAGAGAGAGAGAGAGAGCGCAATCTCTGATTAAGGGGACCTTGGTCTTGCTGTCAACAGCAACAGATGCCTGATTTATCAAGTGGGTCACTGAATTGAGGGGTCTTTCTGTGGCTGTTCGTTTATGTTGTGTTTGGTTAAAAAATTTAAAATAAATAAATAAAAAAGATAGATAAAATATGAATAAAATATATTTATATTTCATTTAATTTTATATATATATATTTTTTTAAATCTCTCCAAATTTTTTAACCAAACACAGCCTTACAGTTCTGTTTCCCATCTTCTAGATAGCCCAATAGCCCATTCCTTCTTCCCCTCAATTGCCTCATTTTTTTTTTTTTGGCTACCCTTTTTTTTTTGCCCTCCTCCCCTTACAGATAAGCCTTTGTAGGCACCTAACTAGTCATCTATGCCTTCCTACTGGAAAAGTAGGTTTTATTGGAAATCATATTGCCCCATGGCTTGTTATTTTGATGGACAACGATATTCCTACGTTTATTTTATGGACATTGAATATAATTATATCAAATTAGACTATCATAATTTAACAATATATATCTATAAGCTCAATAATCATCAACAACAAACACAATAAAGAGCTCACAATGAACATAAATAAACCCATTATAATTATAAAAAAAAAAAAATTTGAAAGAAATAATCAATCTTTCTCTTGAGCAAAAATTGACCATCTAATCTCTTAATTAAGAGGCTATAACAGTAGTCAACTAGACTAACTCAGTTGGTTAGCTTCTTATAATGAGTTTACCATAAATAAGAATTTTCACGAGTGTTGCACTTTGTTTCTTTCATCATCTCTATCTTCTCTCTTTTCAACTTCATTAGTTGGCATTTTTTTTATCTTATTTGTGTGTGTAATGCATTTTGTTGTATTACATGAACTATAACTCCAGGACCTGTAATGTTGGCGTTGACTTTAAAAATAAATAATAACAGATAAGAAATGATCTGTAATGTTGCAACAAAGAAGAATGGAATTCAGTATTACTTCATTATTTAAGAGTTGCTTCCATAATTGAAATTCAGTATTGTGTAGACACCACATGCTTGGTATATATATATATTGTTTCTTTCTTTCATCATCTTTTGTAGCAATTTATCTTACATGGTCATATCATATGCATTACTTTTCTGGGGGCAGAAAGGGCATTATTGGAAATAAATTTTTACCTATATCAGCAAGGGTTGAGAGAGGATACAAAAGAGGGCCTCCTCTGGAAAATTAGCTATTTTAGTTTTTGGCTTATTTTAGTATGTTAAAATATTTGTGTTTAGAAATATAATTAGATTTTTTTGTAGTTGGATGTAATGTTTGTGAGAAAAAATGAAATAATTATAGGTTTGATGTGACATTTTGTCTTATTAGCTATTTTAGTCTATTTTATTTTTTGTGAATTTTTCTAAAAAGCAAAAAAAAACTTTGCAGTGTCTCTGGCTTTATTCATTCCTCGTGTTCTTCTGGTATGTACCTTTGATCGTCCTTCGGCTTTCTTTTACATTTTTGAATCTTTTTACTTCTGGAGGTTACTTTTGGTAAATTTAGCTTCACATATTTTAAAACTCTTGTTTGAATTCATATGTGAAATAGAGAAATAATTTTTTTTACCGACTCGTAAATAATTCCACTTTTGGCACTTTGTACTGTCTCCCTTCCCTTTACAATTTGTCCAATCTGTTTAAAGTTTCATTTGCCTAATAGGGCCTGTTTTGCTGGTATGTGTTTTTCTTCTTTTGGGTGACCTTGTACGGATGGTATGGCAATGGATCGGGACTCTGGCGGTACCCTTTTGGACCCGCTTTTGAAAGTTATTTTTTCAGCATTAAATCTCAATAATTTTAAAATTGCAAATTGATTTATTTGGTTTAAAGTACACAAACTTAAAGATTGATTTGTGTTGATATGGATTTGCGATTGAAAAGTAAAGGCAGAGACAAAGAAGAAGAATTGCGACATCCAGTGAATATTAGCATTAGTATTTAATTTGATAAGCATGATTCGTAAGTGATTGCATGATTTATAAGTGATGCTATGTTTTTAGACAATTCATACGGCTTTAGAGTTTTGTCATCAAAATAAAAAAATATACATATAAAAATATTATGAATAAATGATTATGTATCATGGGGGGCCCCAGTTCCTTTAATTGGATGGAGATGTAAGATGTTTTTCGTGGAGAGAGAGAGAGAGAGAGAGAGCGCAATCTCTGATTAAGGGGACCTTGGTCTTGCGGTCAACAGCAACAGATGCCTGATTTATCAAGTGGGTCACTGAATTGAGGGGTCTTTCTGTGTCTGTTTGTTTATGTTGTGTTTGGTTAAAAAATTTAAAAAAAATAAATAAAAAAGATAAGTAAAATGTAAATAAAATATATTTATATTTTATTTAATTTTACATATTTTTTCTTTTTTTTTTTCAAATTTCTCTCCAAATTTTTTAACCAAACACAGCCTTACAGTTCTGTTTCCCATCTTCTAGATAGCCCAATAGCCCATTCCTTCTTCCCCTCAATTGCCTCATTTTTTTTTTTTGGCTACCCTTTGTTTTTTTGCCCTCCTCTCCTTACAGATAAGCCTTTGTAGGCACCTAACTAGTCATCTATGCCTTCCTACTGGAAAAGTAGGTTTTATTGGAAATCATATTACCCAATGGCTTGTTATTTTGATGGACAACGATATTCCTACGTTTATTTTATGGACATTGAATATAATTATATCAAATTAGACTATCATAATTTAACAATATATATCTATAAGCTCAATAATCATCAACAACAAACACAATAAAGAGCTCACAATGAACATAAATAAGCCCATTATAATTACAAAAAAAAATAAAATTGAAAGAAATAATCAATCTTTCTCTTGAACAAAAATTGACCGTTTAATCTCTTAATTAAGAGGCTATAATAGTAGTCAACTAGGCTAACTCGGTTAGCTTCTTATAATGAGTTTACCATAAATAAGAATTTTCACTATTGTTGCACTTTGTTTCTTTCATGGTCTCTATCTTCTCTCTTTTCGACTTCATTAGTTGGCATTTTTTTTATTTTATTTGTGTGTGTAATGCATTTTGTTGTATTACATGAACTATAACTCCAGGACCTGTAATGTTGGTGTTGACTTTAAAAATAAATAATAACAGATAAGAAATGATCTGTAATGTTGCAACAAAGAAGAATGGAATTCAGTATTACTTCATTATTTAAGAGTTGCTTCCATAATTGAAATTCAGTATTGTGTAGACACCACATGCTTGGTATATATATATATTGTTTCTTTCTTTCATCATCTTTTGTAGTTTAACAAAACTTTAGGTTGCGTTTGGTAGAGTTTTGTAAATATAATTTGAGAATATGAGTTGTATTTTGAGTTTGTGAGTTTTGAAATTATGATTTGAGTGTAAAAAATTTGTTTGGTTATGAGTTTTAAAGAGTTTTGAAAAGAATTTTAAATTGAGTAGAGAATTTTTGATGTGACATGTGATATTTGATACAAAAACTAACAACTTATAACCAAACACACAACTCAAAATTCTATACAAAACTCATAAAAAAAAAATTTAAATTCAGAAAATATTTTTATTTAATATATAAAACATAACATGTGTCAATTCCAAAAAAAAAAAAAATTCACTTGCGGGGACATCTGGGGGTCGACCGGGGGACATTCGGGTGACAGAGTTTTCAAAGCAAAGCGTGGAATTGATTTTTAAAAACCGTAAATAAACACGCAACTCAAAACACACCTGGAATCACATTTCCAGAACACAACCAAACAGAGCCTTAATTTCTTAAAATTAAGTTTGGGATTTTTTTTTCATTCTTAAAGTGTTTGATAAATTTCACCATAGTATAACTAGATGATTGATGATGGAGGATGATCCTCTATGATTACAGTAATT